TGAAGAGGCCTGCGCCTTTGTCCTTCGGCCTGCTCCTACGGGCTCTTCCTCTCGGAGTCCGCAGGCAGCTCTCCCTGGTTATCTCAGATACAGCAGCTGAACCACCCTGGCTGCGGTGTCGGCTCTGCTGGAAGTGTGGGATGAGAAAGGATGTTGGGTTATGAAAAAGTCCTTAGCGCTGGCTCGGTTGGGCATGGTTCAGGCCCAGTTCAGCAAAGCAGAAGCAATGCGTGGTGAGCATGTGCCTCAGGCTGGTCTGCGTTTGGGATTTTGCTGAATTATGATGGACTAAAGCTTGGGTGCTTTGCTGAATCTGGGCCTGGACATCTTTGTTATGGACAAGAGAAGCAGTTTCTGCCCTTTCTTCATAGTCATACGTTTTTCCAGTGGGCCAGGGCTTCCCAGGAGTATGTTTTCTCTGCTTAATTTTAAAAGCCTGTTTGCACTGTGTACGGATAAATTATCTGTTTTGCTGGGTTTTGCCCCTGACAAATCTTGATAAATGATATGTAGGGAACAGTCCATTTTATTTTTAAACTGATGAGATTGTAGCATTTTCTGATGCTTAGTTACCGCTGTTTACATGGTATATTGCTAGAATTTCAGATAGTTTGTATGAAATGTAAGTACAATTATGCACTTTAGAGAGTTTATATTTTTGAACTTTGAAAGCTAAAAGTAACAAAACCTGTTAACTGAGATTGTACATTAAAAGAAAGAAAATCACACCTAGCCATCTCTCTTTTTAAACTGTTCTTTCCAAGTCTTTCCCCGTGGCAAAAACCAACCAACCAACCAATCGTCTGCCTAGCTGCGAAGGAAACTGCTAGGAAAGGCCGTCGTAGAGAAGAAGTGAATTTTAAAATGCCAGTCCTGGAAAGACACGTACATATGCTCAACTTTCTGTCCTGGGTTTGCAGATGCTGTGACTCCCCTCTCCCGAGCCTGCACAGGAGGAAGGCTCCAAGACCTGAGCACTAAAATGTTGTCTTTGTACCTCCCACAGATGATTTGACTTCCCACTAACCACAAACAGCCAGAAATGATGTTTGCCCTGCCACACTCCTCCAAGTCAATTCAAGCAACATCTGTGCGTTTTGTTTGATGATTTGTCTATGCCAACATCAATGACTATTGGCTGGAGAACATTAAATACAAGGCTGTGCTTTTAAAAGGTGTGAAGTACTGTACAAAAATCTACTTTATGTGATGGATATAAATAAGCTGTTAGTGTAAGACAACCTGTTTCCGTGTCACTAGAACAAACTGTCTGCTGTAGGGTGGCAGCACGGTCTGTTGGGCTTCCCATCCACTGGGGCCATTTCAGACACGCATGTCTCTGTGTTACCACATCGTGGTATAATAAATCTTTGCGGTTTATTTAAATGATGATGATGAACAGGTTGTGGACAAAATAGGATTGCAAGAGTTAAAGACCAAGGGAAAACTTGTCATTCTTACAAGTTGCATTTGGTTTTATTCTGTTTACTCCTGAGTAAACAGTCAAATAATGGATGTTTATGTTAAAAGGCAGTGAAATTAAAGCATCTTATCTTTTAATCACGCTGCTAAGACATCAGGTGTTATTACTGGTATGTGCAGCTTTCAGAGGGTACGTGCTGCCAGACGTCCTGCAGTCCGAGGTGTGTCCCAAGTCCTCTTTGGCGGTGTTTTGGGGCAGAGCTGCCAGAGGCTGCGCGCCAGGGATGGGTTTTGTCACACGTGAGACCGGCTGGTGCTTGGTGTATGCACAGGGTGCAGAGTTGTACTTCAGCTTGTTCGTCAAATTCCTTCGCTTCACTGTTTCTGTTTCCCATCTCTTGGGAAGGGATCCAGGGACTTCTGGCTGTTGGGGAGGGAATGTGGGTCCAGGCTTGTTTCCCTAAGCCAGGGAGGGGACTTTATTGCTCAGGTGCAGATGGGGAAGTTAAGTTTGCATTTGAAAACTGTAACAAAAGTGATGCATTCACTGACCCTCTAGTGTGGGATGACTTGGTGGAAAGGGCAAATGTGGGTCCAGGCTTGTTTCCCTAAGCCAGGGCACAGGAGGGGGCTTTATTGCTCAGGTGCAGATGGGGAAGTTAGTTAAGTTTGCATTTGAAAACTGTAACAAGTGATGTTACAGTTACATCCCCCTCTAGTGTGGGATGACTTGGTGGAAAGGGCGGCTCGCTTCCTTCCTCCCTCTGGATGCTGCCATATTCCTGAAGGGCAAAAAGCCCCTCATCTGCGTAGGTGCACTTACCAAGTGTCTTTGGTTTGGCAGAGGGCGCAGATTCCAGCAGCATCCCCTGCATGCGTTACAAAAAGTGCTTTTGGCACCGGGAGCAGCAGCAGAACCTGGGCCGTGCGCCTGTTGTGTGCCTCGTGGACCGAGTTCATGGTGTTGTGGGGGGGGCTGTGATTTTATTCACCCTTGGGAAACCATCCAGTGGCTGACATGCATGGACCCAGCCTGAGCCTGTAGCTGCTGGAGTTGCTGGCCGTCTCCTTACTGACTCCAGCAGGAGGACGGCCCTTGGAATGGGGCAGGTGGCGGTAGGTGTACCAGTGCTTGCCAGGGCTCGGCTCTTCCGCAGCCTTGGCCGTGCATTTGGTGATACTGGTCTGACCGCAAAGTTTACGTGTATAGAGAGGAATCTCTCTGTGCGGCTGAGTCACCTAAACTCCCGCCCTCGCTCTGCTGAGGAGTAGCTGCTTTGCTTCTTTGCTGCCCCTCGGGTCCCTGCTCAGGAAGAGCAGAGCTGTGCTAATGCTAAATGTGATGATGGGCTGGTAAACAGGGTCTGGGGCTCAGGGGCAGAGGCAATCTGTTTGCGCCAGTGATTTCCCTTGCAAACATTTAAATAATGCCTAAACAACCATTCTTCCAGCCATAAAAATAGTAGAGAGAGTGTGCAACTACTGAAAAAGCCAGGGAGTGCATTCTCTGTAAGTGTGTGCAGTGGGTGAAATCCTGACCCTACTGAAAGCAAGAGTTGCTGTTGGGTTTGCAATAATTCTCAACTGCACTTCAGCAATTTTGTAATTGTTTTTTTTTTTTTTTTAAAGAAAGGAGTAATGAAGGCAGCCTCAGCTGGCTGTGATGAACTCCTCTTCCTTGCCACTTTTTGGGAGGAAATAAAAGGTGGGGAGGAGCGTAGGAACTGAAATTGTCACAGACTCAGTCAAATATAAATTTTGCACTGATTTCAATATCTGGGAAAGTACAAAGTAACCCACAGGCAGTAGAAGGGGAGCGATGTCCCCGGCAGCCCCAGGGAGCGTCGAGTCTTTTTGTTTCACTTCAGCTTGCCCCTCTTGCTGATAGGACACAAATACTTTACGTATTTTTAGTGTGATAAGATTTATCTGTAGGTAGAACAGATTCAGTAACATTAATTACAAATTATTTTGCAAACATATATAAAAATATATGTTTGTTCATACATACACACCCCCAAACATATATGTATGCGTACATGGTACCTCATTATTAATCCTACCTCGACGCTGTGTGTTTACCCGCACAGCTGAAGAGAGCAGCACCCTTCCTTCATAAGTTCAGGGAGGTTGAAGTCCACATGATAGAAATCCTGTATTAAGCCAATAAATTAACCATATTCGCATGTGCTAACGATGTACCACAGTGCTGGGGAGCCAGGTGAGCACCATGAGGCCACAGCATTGCTGGCTGACGCCCCGGGCTGCAGCTCACAGCAGCTGCCAAGCACATGCTGAGAACCCCGTCCCTGGGACCATTTTGGGGTGAGGTGGTGGGGGCTCCCTGAGCAGACAGGGCAAGGGGCCCTGGCACCTGAGGGAGTGTCTCAGCCACCAAACTGCACCCTGGCCACAGACAGACACACAGGTACACACACAGAGCACAGGTGGACACAGGCACATGCTCACTCTCCCCTCTGCAAGCATCTGGTGTTGCAGTGCCTCTGGTGCTGCTGCCACAGCTCCTGCACACAAGACAAGGCCCCTTGGTAATTGATTACTATTAATTGATGAAGAAACAGCTCTGAGGCGAGTCCGATGTAAGGGAGGGGTACAGGGTGCTGCAGGGCTGCCATGGCTTCATTGCCTCCAGTACCCAGCTAGGGCCCCATGCATCTCTGGGTGCTCAAACCACAAGGGACCTGGGGACCTCATCCCAGGGGTCCTGCCTACACCTGCAGGGCTGGGCAGGAAAGGCCACGGGGTGGAGAAGCCTTGGTGGCCTTCAGTGCAGTGAGGAAAGGCACCACCACTGCGGCCCTGCTGCCTGTGAGGGGGGGGGAAGGAAAGGAGGAGAAACACCAGGGGTGAAGGGATAGGGCTGGACAGGCTCCGGTCTGGTCTCTATCCCCAGCTCTTCCACAGAGGACGTGCCTGACCTCAGCTGAGCCAGGACAGGCAGACAAAACTCCTCCTGCTCTGGCTGTGGAGACAGCGAGCCCCCTGGGGCTGGCAACCAGCACACCAGGCTGAATCCGGGCGAGGAAGAGGAAGGGCAGCAGTTGACTGAAACAAGCAACAAGGGGATGGGCCGGGTGCTGACCGCAGGGCCAAGGCAGAGGCAAGCAGCGCCCTTCTTCCAGACGCCCAGAGGTACGGCCAGGTCAGGAGGAGAGGCAGTGCCAGTGCCTGGAGCTGGCCCTCCTTTCCTCCCTGACACAAAGGCAGCCACTCAGGCAGAATTAAACATCAAATTTATTGCATAATACTGTACTATGTACACACACATCGAAAATAAACATTTGATATAATTGTATATTTGTCTTCAATGTTGCATTAGAAAGAGGCTGGAGGGCTCTCAGCGTAGCCCACAGCTTGTCTTAAAAAAAACCCAGAAGCCTCAAACCTTTTGTTACGAGGTGCAAAGTTCAATACTGTATATTGAACACGGTGCATAAATACTATATCCTAATAACAAGTCAATGTCAAAACGACCCTAGGGCTCTCCAATCTTACAGGACAGATTTAGGTAATGATTTTGCCTACTCAAGTCCTAATGTACATTTCCAGTCTAATTCATATAGATTGTCCTTTAGGGCCCCCTCCCCCCAGCAAAAACAGCTGCCAAGTGAAAGGGCTCCTCTCAAACAGCAAAATAAAGTAACCCTAACTGCAAAAATAAAACCAACCTCCAAACAGAGTGTTATCGCTCAAATATGGATCTCCTGCTTGCTGCTTTGCTCTGACCTGACGAGACTGGAGAGCTTGCACGCGCCTCATACGCACGCGCGCGACTCCTCTGGAGACGGGCGGCAGTGGTAAAAGCTGCCACCTCACCTTGCATTGGAGAACGGGCCTGTTCGGATGGAAAACCAGGGCTCGGCGAAGCCCACCCGCCTACCTTGTGGACTTGCCGAGAAAGAAACACAACACGAGAGAGATGCAGTTTGAGAAACCCGTTATTACAGGTAGGGTTTGGCCTTCCACACACCTGAAAACAAACCCCGCTCCAGAGGAGTCTGAGGCTCCTTTTAGAAGACCTTGCTTGGAAACAAAATTCAAGACAAGTGAGCAAAAACAAGCCAACCCCCCTGAACCATCATATTCTCCATGAAACTTCCTGGTGCAAAAAGACAGAGCATCGCTACTACACCGCCCTGGGGGTCACAGGTGACCTCCCAGCCCAGTACCATCCGCCAAGGACCAAAGGGCAGAGGGGGTATTTCCATTCAAAGCAAGCAAGAACCAGCTTGCACTTAAAAAGGGAGGAAAAAAGCGGGGGGGGGAAGTCACAGCTTTGCAAAAAGGAGATCACTTGTTCATCCTCAATTTCCACCGTAGCCTAAATGCAAGAAACATCAAAATATTTAAACTGGACTAAAAGGAGAGGATGTGTGTGTGTGTGTGTGTGTTTGTGTAGGGGCAATAAAAGCAAAGTACAAGGTATTGCTGGGAGGGCAGTGGCATCAAATTGGAAGGGGAAACAACAAAAATGCCCACTGAACTGATTTTGTTCAGTAGATGAGAAAATTCGAAGCAATAGCCTCTCCCTGCTGAAGCCCCACAAAATGCTGGCAGCATCTGGCTGAGACTGCATCATCCCAATCTATTATTATTAATTATACTTTCCCCCCAAATGTTCTGATCCATTCCCTTACAAAAATAAAGCCAAGCCCATCGTTTTCTTCCTCTGTACCCATGTGTCCATGCCTCTCCCACACTGGTCAAGCTAAGCTAAAGCCCTCGTAGTGATCGATGGCTTGCACCAGCCGGGCGCTGAGGACCTCCTTGCTGCTGTACTTGGGCAGGTCCAGGAGATTGTAGCAGGTATGCGCCACGGGCAGGTACTGCTCTCCGCTGGTGGTGGACTGGATGACGATGCGCAGGCTGGACATGCCGTAGATGGGAATGCGGTCACTGCCCGTCAAAAACACTAGGAGAAGCAGAGGGAAGGTCGGACAGTTAGGGCAGGCAACCCCGCGCCGAGGGCTGTGCCTGAAGGCAAAACTCCATCCCCACCTGCACGGCGGGACCGTGCCTGCCTGGAGGCCATGTATTTCTCCTCGTCTCCCCTTTTGTCCCCAAATAAAGTGACCCCTACACAGCAGCTCAGATCTGTGGGTGGCTGGGATACTTGAAGCAACACACACACAGACATGCACTTCCCAAGGCCACTTCTGCAGGGGATTTCCTCTCGCTCTCAGTGTACCACCCACCATACCAGCACAAGGAGACCCACCACCGGGAGGGGAGGTATCTGCTACCCAGTCACACCAATGCGTGGTCTTGTTTTTCCATCACATCATACACTAGCTTCTCCACTCAGCTGTCACCCTACAACTGCCCCGCTGCCTTTAAAAAGAACGCTGTGATGCCTGAAAGCTCAGCTTGTAGAAGAAGGAACCAGACTGGGTATGGGCACTGGGGACTGCTCTGAATTCACCTCCTGGAAATGCGAACGGACTGATACTGCACTCTCTTGTGAGAGACTGCATTGGATCTTGCACTGCAGGTATCACCCAGTGATTCTGAGGGTAAAAATTAAAGCAAAAGGAAAAAAAAAAAAACCAAGAGAGGGAGAAAACAGATTATCTGACTAGCAGATAAGTCAGGGGATGGCCATTCATGCTGGATCACCACCTAGCACTTAATGCAATGTGCCAGAACCCTGCAGCTCTGCAGACACTCCCACCTGAGCCTTCCATTTCAGGAGACACTCTGCATCACTGCAAGATACTTACAGAGAAATTTCTTCTTCTTTTCCAAGGGAAATGCATGAAAGGTCTCCCAAAACATTCTCACAGTTGGGTGTGTCGCAGTGTAGTCTCCCTTATAGACAGCGCTCTATTAAAAACCAAAAGGGCACGTCATTTCATCTGGCACTAGAAAGCAAAGACTAAGCAGAAACCAGACCTGATCTCTTCTGGTATCTGACATCAGGTTGATGTCTGACAGTTGTGAAATGGAACACGGGATGGGTCATAGGCAATAGCACGGCTCACAGACCCAGCAAAGGGTTCTCCTAGCAATATTTGGAAGGCAGGCATTAGGCTTCTAGCTATTCAGCTAATTACAGGTGTCATGAGGAATCCTGGAGTACCTGTTCACAGGCTGGACTCCTGAACAGGATCATGTGTTATGCACTGCAAAGCCACTTTTACTGCTGAGGCTGAGACAGAGCAAGTGACGTGCTGACCTATGCATTCTGAAAGATACAACTCCTACTTCGTGTCCAGACTCCCCTTCCAGCTCTTGGCTGTGTACTTTGTGCCCTTGTGCAGTGGAGTGAGTTTTACCGTAGGTGAAGACCCTGACTTTGTCTCTTCCCTTCAGTCTCAGGCTTCATCCCTAAAATCAGCAGGTGCAAGTCCTTCTCCCCTGCCCTTTCTCATCCTGAATTTCCTCCTTGAGCTTTACCAGCAGCAGGACAGCACAGTAAGAAACTTTTCATGTGAATGATGGCAAGGTGTACAAGGAGCATAAAGGAAAGAGATCCATGGCTCATCACATCTCACATCCCAGGGCAGTGCCCACCTCATACAACTGCACAATCCTGGTACTTGTGAAAAAGAAGAAAAATATGACAAAAGGGAAGCTTTACCTCCTCCAGTTCCTCCCAGTTGTAGTTACTGTTTCCAACTATCATGGCCCTGAGCTCTGTGGGCTGGAAGAGTTCCAGGACTTTCCCACCACACACTTTCAGGAAACCAGTGGAAAAGGCTGTGTACCACTCATGGATGGAGAGGTTGAAGATGTAATTTACGTAGGCTTCAACAAATTCTTCCCTAGTGCATTGAGAGAGAACAGGCAAAGGAAAGCACTTTTAATCATATGCCTGAGCAGCAGCAGTGCTAAGTTTTCCTGTTTCTGCCTGTAATGTGTCTTGCAAACGTGAGTCTCCAACAGGTTCAGCCCACTGCCCTCCTCTCACTAAGCTGAGTCACAGCAAGATGGACAATTAGGCAGCAAGTACAACCATGTGTCTGCTTATTCCCCAGCAGTGGCAGCATGGCGGGTCCCCCAGCAGCCCAGGCTCTATACTACCAATAAACCCACCCAGTGGCTTTGCATCCAATTGCCCACAGGGCCGGGAGGGAGCCAGGGTGACACCAAGTGCTGGGGAGGTGTCAGGAACAGAGCCCTCTTCCCCGAGAAACCCGTGCCTGCTCAGAGGTTGTGTCAGGCAGATATCAGGATTCAGTCGCCGGAGGAACATGGCTACCCCCTAGCCCTATGTTTAGCAAGTCCAGGAAATAACCTGTAGCTCTTCTCCGTCTGCAGGTGTGCGGGGTTACTCAGCACAGGGCTCTGTGCCCACCTGCAGTGGCCTTGGACTGCCAGGTTGCTGCGAGCAAGTGTTCTGCTGGGGAGAGGGAACCAAATCAAACAGACGGTGCCCAGAAGACCATCACTTCCAAAACCAAGAGCCTCACAGAGCCCTAGTTAGGCACCCTGTGCATTTTCAGAGCCGGCTCCTGCTGACTCAGTCCCCAATGAGTCTTGCCAGTGGTTCAGCACTTTCAAAGCCAAAGCTGTAGCCTAGAGGCAGACTGAGGAAACCCTGCTCTGAAAAGCCTTGATCTGAAACTGCATGGCCAATTCCCTCCCTCCTGGCCCCAAAGAGAAAGCACCTGAAAGAAATCAGGAAACACCCCTCACTATAGAGGAAGAAAGCAGCCTTAGGAAACCTCTTCTTCAGCCTTCCCACTCTGGTTACATAAATACAGGGCTTGTACATTTGGAGCACAGGGCAAAGAGAACGACTCCTCTCAGAATGACAACCCTGTTTTGCTTCAAGGGTTCCCAAGAACAGCATTAAAATAAAAACACCATTCTGTAGTCATTGGCAAGAAACTTGTGGCAGGCCCTGGCCAAACCCTGTCTCTGGATTTTGTTAGGAGGTTAAGCACCTTTATTCAACTCTCTCTTTCCTACTCTCAAAGCACCATGATCTGAGTGCAACACTAGAGTTTTATTTGTGCAATGACTTAAAATATTTCCCCTGACTTCTTTTTTTTTAAACCTGATGATAATACACCAGCCAGTTTGGCAAACTGGGACACAAAACTATTCTCTGTGGGTGGAGGTGTTGTTTTTAACTGAGATTTGAGAGCAGCTCACACCTGCACTCAGAGGACAAGCAGATCAGGGAACACCACAGAATCAGATACATCAATCTCTAGCTGAGGAGGTCACAATTGAAAGAAATATTTTGACCTTTTGGTGGAGGAATTCTCAATATATATGCTATGTAAAAGCAGCGAGGGATGGGTGAGAAAGTAAAAAAAAATAAGGAAGCAGAGTGACAAATATGAAAATTTGGAATAAGAAATCATATAGCGAAGGGGGAGTTATTTTCCAGCACCTTTCTTTTATTGTCATTTTTCCGATAGTCACCTGAGCATTAGGGAAATCCAAGCTGATTAAGCACTTAACTGTTGCTTAATACCTCTCTGGCTGTTACGGTCATGAACCCTTTATCAAGAGCATTTTATGTTATGACACCCAATAAGAACTCCAAAGGAGAAAGGGAAAATGCAAGCATTCTCTACTTGGCATTTTTCAGTCAAAACAATCCCGTGCATTCTTGAGTTCCTGGTGAACTTTCCTCAAGCAGGAAGGGCAGTGCCCAAAGACGTGCACACAGCAAAATATTCAAGCCAGGAGGGCAGCAAATTGGTCCCTGGACTCTAAACGTAGGGGTGGAGGAAGTCATTAGGCACTATAAGGTGGATGAATTGATAGCCATGTCTAGACTTGGATTTAGAGGTTAGCTTGAGTTCAAAACTCTGGTCAAGACAAAGCAATTGCATTATGGAATGTGTTAAGCTGGTGGAACTACACACTAGCCTTTCTCTGTAAGGATTTTCTTCTCTTGTTTCCTATTCTGACTTAATAAACAGTTGCGGGAGCTAACCTGGGTGCTCTTCCCAAGCATTTGCTCAGCTAAAATCTTTGTTCCTCCCTCTAGGCCAGTATGGCACACAGTAAAAAATGGCCATTTTTCTTTTGAGTGTACATGCCCAGCCTAAAAACCTAAACAGTACTATCACTGGCATTTTCATTTTCCCTGTTGCAAGTGTAGATTAAACTCTCCTCTTTTTAGCTGAAGCCCATCTTCTTTTGGCAGGGAGACAGACTTACACTGCTCCATCTCCACATGGGTTCTGCGTGGAGGCAGCAGCTATTTAGCTGTAAAATTGTACCCTTTTGGGCAGTAGTAAAGTAGGTAACAAGGTAATACAGACAAAGCTTTTGTTACAGCAATGGCTTTAGACACAAACAGAACCCTTTTAAATAATCAGATTAATAGGAAATGACTTCATCTAGGCTTGCCAGTAAGGTTTTCAGCAATCCTAACACAAGACCCTAACCACGCTGCTGACTAGTCACTGGATCACACTGTTTTGCCAGCAGTGAAAGAATTTGAACGCTGCTTCAAGTAATAAAGGCATTTCATTTGTAGAAATCCAATTACAGGATTATGAGAAGAAAATAGTTTAGCAGCTGGAAAAAAAGAAAGGGGGGGGAATGGTAGCTGTGCTAGTAATAACTCTGAGGTGTTCAGTCAAATGGAAAGGAATCTACGTGCAGTAGGCCTTACAGCTCTAATCAGGGATGGTGGTCCTCTATCAGGTATACTCAAGGGAAAGCGTTTCCGGCTCCAGAATTAATAGCATAAACAAGTTTGCCAGCCTCAGTTTTGTTGGCCGCATACAGTTCCTCTCTAAACCATCAGGGAGATTAACCTTCAAGGGCCAGAATCATGTTGCAATCTCTATTTACCGTGAGAAAACTGCCAAGGGTCTATATGAAGGCCTTTCACAGGGAAGATGTCCATCCAAATGGGCACGGGACATTTTCCAAACATTGGTGGAAAGATGATCAAAACTTGCTTTTTATTGAAGTGTCACTGGCACCCAGTAACTTTTGAACAATGGGTTTTAGAATTTGTTCCCAGTGACCTCTAATTCTATCCCACATTTCACCTCAGCCAAACTTTCCGTGACATTGCACCTAACCACCACAAGTACGAGCCCATCCCCACGCATGCCCCACTTACCTATTGTCCTTCTGCACCAGAATTTTATCTCCATCTTCAATCAGGTTCTTCTGCTCTGTCACACCATAGCTTTCCCTGCAGATCTATACAAAACCAGAAAACTAATTTTACCAGAAGTACTTTTCAGGTCATATGCCTGCAGCAAGACAGAGAGTTCTCTTTCACAGTTGATGACCGGCATGTGAAGGGTAGGCCTAAGAAAAGGGCATACGCAGAACATTTTTTCTCTGCTCCGAATGCCCTGCACGCTTCACTGCCTCCCATCATTTACAACTGCTGTAGGACTGCTATTAAGTCTAAATGCAAACTCAGAAAGGAAAAAAGTTAATCTTTTATGTAAATTTCCTGTCAAAAAACCCAAGTGATTGATAACTAAAAAACTGTCCTTAAGTAAGCCCTCATGCTCTGGCAATAAAAAGGACTCCCTTTTTTATAATAGAAGCTCAGCAGGTTAATCCGTCTGCTCTCCCTGCAAGATGGCACGATCACAGACAGTGTCCTGCTCTTGCCTGGCCGAGGATGACACCAGCACAAACATATATTCTGTACACACAAAATTGGTCATGTGGAAAAAATGCAAAAGGGTCAATTTTCAAGTTGCCATACACAAAAGAGGCTCAGATTTTGAAGTGCAAGATGAGTTATTCATTTAAATTTTTGGGATATCACTTCATTTAAAAGTTTTAGCAGATCTATCTGTATGTCTTTATATACAGATATTATGCAGTATATAGTGCAAGAGAGAGTAAGAATATCCTTTCGAGTGAAAAGTGACTTTGGAGAAAAATCTCTTGTGTTACTTCAAAGGCATTCTTTTTTACACAGTCTGTATTATCATCATTATGGCTTCATTACCTCATCCCGAACTGCAGCTCTGACCTGCATGAGACAGAGTCAGGCCCCGGTCTGACTCACTCCAGGAATAGATTTGATCTTAGAGTCTTTATGTGCTCTCAGCTATGAAACAAGGAAATGGACACCACTCTCCTAGCTCAGCAAGGATTTTCTTCACAGTGTGTAGCAGAGTTTCCTGGTACCTTGTTTTTACCCCAGGCAGGCCCTGGACAGAGTCAAGAACCCAGATCAAGCTCAAGATGAACCCATCACTCAAAACCTGTTAGAGCATCAGGACTTTAAAGCAAAGACATTGAAACAGGGAAGCCCTTATCCTGCCTGAGTTGGAGGAAAACATAGCTTGGAGAATAATGATGCCAGATCTCATTGTGAGGTTCTAAATGTTTGCACATGATGGAGTGACATACCTGATATTCCAACGTACGTCAAGATCGAACTCTTGATTTTGGGGAATCTCCACTGTGTAATAGAAACTATTGCATCTAGGTTACTAGCTAGAAAAAAAATTCTCTTACTGCTGTAGTAGCACAGGAAAGCTGACTACCTCAGCATGTCTCCTAGCAATAGCCTCCAGCATTTTGTTTCTAAGAAAGTCTGACCAAATACACTTGCTATACATTTTTAAGTTAAAAAGTACTAATATTATGGCAGCAAGGAGAACTCTAAATTGTGGTGTTAGCATTCCAAGAATTGACCTAGTGATGTCAAAGCCTAACTTCCATTTTCAAGGAGGATTCGGGAATCTACTTCTCACTGTCTAATGTGAGAAGTTGGCCACTGGCATGTAAGTCACATGCCTCAGTGACACTAAGGCTATTTTGAAAACCACTCTGCTTAATCTACTTACTAGCTCAGTTTTCATGACCACATACAAAAGAACAAGGGAGTTGACAGCAAAGATTTTTAACATCCTAACATTAACATTTAACATTACCATGGGGTATATGCTACAGGCACAGTTTGGAATAAACCATTATACACATAAATAAGGAGATGGACTTCAACTGTACCATAGCAATCACAGAGCTGATATATTAAATGTGTCTTACTGTAAAATTCAAGCAAAATGTCTCTTCTACATCTTCCCCAGGGTAATCTAAAAGTTGCTGAAGACTCCTACATGACAGGCAGGGAAAGAAATGAGAAAAAAAAATCAGAGATTCAAAAAGCCATACATCTAAAGTGGAAAAGAAATTCAGCAAAAGTAAACAGCATCATATATCTGAGTAACAGGATTGCAAGAGAGAGAATCTCTGAGTCACCTGAAAGGGTAAGAAAGAAATACACTTCAAATAAAGAGATGCTTTGTTAGAAGCAGCGCAAATGCCAGTCCATAGAAATTATCAATATAGTCCCATGCCTACCTAGTACATGGATCCCCTTTAATGACCCTGGCCTTAGAACAGAATTACATTTCTAGTTCTTAAGGAGTGCTAGATATTTATGCCATCACCACACAAAGGTCTGAGGGAGTGAAGGAAAAGAGGGTGGTAGATTATATCTGTATACCCCATCATGTAGAAAATACTTTTCTCCTATCTCTCAAAATCCTGCTGCTGTCTTCCTGGCATTTTACCTCATTCTTGTTAAATACAGCTGTCCCTTTGTGCAGATAAATCAGACGGCAACTCAGAAGAAAAAAGACGACAGCGGTCAGACAGTGGGATCTTAACCTCTCAAGGTCAGGGGGAATCAATATCCCCATGCAATTAGGCAGAAAAGATTCAATACACCAGTTAGGAAAAGTCATTCCTTCACTCCACTCAAGCCCCTTCTTTCTGGCATGGGAGCGGATCAGAGTTACATAGGTTCAAGGATAGGACAGTTCACATCCTAAGCACAGTTGCCATCCTGGGCTACATCATGAGATATGTAGCAGATCTGCTGGCTAACCCAAGCCTGGTTTGGAAGGAAAGGCTGAGGCTAGGATCTGGGATCATGCATGTGATCACACAGTGGAGGGACAGGCCCCCACCCCTGTTTTCAAAAGAGTGTCATAGGTATCTTTTGGCTGTGTTGATACTCAGTTTCTGGGAATCAAAAAGGTGAGTACAGAGGTTAAGAGTCTAAGCAGAGGGATCCGATAGGCTGTGGGAGAGGAGAAGTTTTACATTAAATTCACTGCTGGCTTATGTACTTTGCTAGGATCACAGTCCCCCAAATTAATCAGTCACTCAAAAGGATCAGGAGGTGGTTTACCGGACAGCTTTTACCCCAGTTTGGCATTTCTCGTTCTCAGATGGATGGTCTCCCTTCCCAGAAAGGTCGCAAATTTTGTTTTTCATACCTTCCTTCTGTAGGGGATAGCTCCTTCAAATCCTCTAGGCAGGGCTTCACGTTCAACAGTTTTTTGTACAGAGCCAAGGGAAAGTGAAGGTCTACGACTGTGAAGTTGTATATTGCAAGACCGCATATGATGCCAATCAGGTGAAACCAGTTATGTTCTACAAAACACTGCAAAAACACACAGAGAAATCCTGATGAGACATGCTGTCACGGGTGCAATGTACCTTCCCCCCATGCACTAAGAAGCCAGCCCCTGCTTTTCCAACTGGGACAAAATCAGAGAGCTCCCATCAGGTCCCAGTTTGGTTGTGAATTCCTTGCTGGAGTGTGGCACAGAAATGAAGATTCAGAAACCCTATTACTTTCGTGAGCCATGATTAGCTATGGAAACAGCAACAGCTGCTTTCCACCTTATCTGCTTTTTATTTCCTTTGTACATAGCTCTGCACTTAGACATTAACAAAGCTTTGACATTTGCTGTCTATGTACTGCGAGAAAATGTGCTAACAATTCTCTCCCTGTCATCCATCCTATTTTCTATTAAAAGCTTGTGCACAACCACAGTTCCACCATGGCAAATATACCAACATAGGTGTTGGTATACCGGCCTTCATTCCTTCACATATTTACTCTCACACTGGTACGTCAGTCACAGACTGGCTGCCTGTATTTGTTAAATGTTGTAAATAGGTGACTCTCATATTTTCAGTGCTTAGGCTGTCATTATTTTTAGTATTGAAAGACTTGTTGTTTTTATAGCACTAACATGAAGAGTAATTACCCTGTAATACTGTGTACAAATTACAAAAGGCGCCATATAATTTCCTCCCTTGCAAAACGTAATTAATAAATTAAAAGAACCCTCACCAGGGTACCTATGCCTTAAGGGAAGACTGACAACATCATTTTCCATCTTTCTAGCTAGGCAGGTGAAGAAAAAAGGACATAAACCACCATAATGCTATCTGGCAGGTACAGATCCTGCACTCCACACCCTTCCAAAACCAACCAACTATCACTACGAACCGTGTCTCTTGCTGTTCAAGAGCTTCCTCACATAAAGCATTACCAAGTTTAGACCCTGAAGGTGATAGTGATGCATGACTAAGTGGATTGTCTGCAATTACATGAACAGCAAGGGAAGCACAGAATTCTAATGCCATTACAACCTAAACCTCTGGTTCTGTAACATGATTATCACATTAATGATAATAAGACTTCTAGTAACTGTCATCTGATACTTAATACAAGTTTTACTATGGGAAAAGAATAAAGAGAAAGACCCAACTCCTTAGCAGGCACTATCATCAGCATTCTGCTGAAGTTAATGGACCTATACTAATTTCCACTGACTGAAAACAGAGCTCACATTGTATCGTGGGTGGAAAATGGGAGGAAGATAATTTCTTTCCCACAGTTTACCACTAACTTCCTTGTCATCATATTATTCCAACCTGTGTGTATAAAGGGCAAGGGCTTACCGTGTCTGAAAACCACAGCAGGTTTGACTCGGGGTAGTAAGTGAACATGCCATAGATGGGGTTGAGGAGTTCTTTTAGCAACAGGAGGAAAAATTCCTTTGTCACTCCTCCAGCATCAACAGCTTCCTCACCATCAAAGATGACCTGTAGAAAAAGCAGGTCGGTAACAAGGATGCAGAGCCGAGACCGAGTGAATCAGACATCTTTCTAATTGGGGTGAATCAGACATCTTTCTAATTGAGAGCCACACAAAGCAATTTGTCTAACATGCCCAAACCCACTGCAACCCATGAGCCTGTTTCAGTGCTCTGCTAGCAGGGAGGGAAAGGGAACAGGGTGTGGCAAATGAGATAATTTGAACATGTTTAACTCCTTACTCAAATCATAAATAACCACCTATCCTCCCAACAACAGAAGCAACAAAGTGACAGCAGCTGCTGAATTTTGTAGCAGCCTCTCAGAGTTAAAACATGTCCTATTCTAAGTGGCCTGTTCCTGTAGAAGAGCAAAACAGGTATCATAGAAATGTTTCCTCTCCCACCCCTTATACAGTAGACACACCAGAAAAAGAGAGTAAACCCCCTGCTTGCCTTCTTGTAAATGGTTCACTGCCAAAACACTCTGGGAGTTGGAGAGGTGAAAGAGACAATCCCTGCATTGATTAGATCGAGTGTCCCTGTGTGCTACACCTATGGAGAAGCCACTGTACACCGGTGAAGTGGTAACATGAAGGGCTGAAAAGCTGCAGAAATATCAGCTGGATGAGAAGGTGCTAAAGGTGTGGAGAAAACTTACTTTAAGAGGTTTTTTCAAATCAATATCTGAATGGATGCTCAACTCCCTTAAAGCATCACCGACTAAGTTACTCCTGCGAACATGAAGTACCAGGAAAGGGCTTCTGGCCAGCAGAGGCTCCAGGGTGAGAAGCATGAAGACATTCTGCAAATTTGCACCATTTATTGCAACCTGTAAATAAAAGAGGGGTGAAAACCAGCCACTGCTCTGCTCCTTTCTTCCTGTGGAAGGAAAACAGTTAACAACTATATGCCTGATGTTCTTTTCTTCCTTACTCTTTTAGTTTGGTTTCCCCAGGGTACAAGGATTATGTGCTCACTCTGTACAAGTATGTGTGCATGTGTTCCTACCTGCCTCCCCGTCATTTCCCACACCACCACCTTTTGAGTCCACTGATCAATCCACCAAATTTGAGCAACAGAGAGACCAAATTCCTGAACATTTTTTGACATTAGGCAGGTAGGTGGGAAAGACACTTTATTCATGCTCTTATTGAGTCAAGAAACTCCCTGTGAACACAACCCTGATAAGAGTCAGAGAGTCCACGAGGGAAAGCGGTGTTACTAACACACCAGGCGAGGAGTCAGCTGACAACCACACCTTGCAAGGCACTAGGGAACCCATCGCATACAATTCAAAGCTCTCATCTACATGGATTTTCCAGCATTGGGTAAGGCACAAAGTCCAGTCAAAGCTTTGACCACACATAGTATATGCATTCTCATGCAGCATCCATGGTAAGTGGCAAATTCACATTTGCAAATTCAGTTTAAAAGTCAGTTGACCCTGAGACAGAAATCCACTGGAAACCAGATATTCTCTGTTCCAGCACTCACAGAAGTACTGGTTTCTTTGGCTTCTAAGTGGTTGTCTTCATAAAGATCTTATCTCTCAGGGCAACAAAACCTTTACCAGCCTGCTGTCCTGCCAAGATAAGGCAGATACCCTCCTCACAGCAGTGCACCTGGGCCAACGGAAATATACAGAAGAGGGTGGCAAAATGAAAGCAGGAGAAGCTGACTCCAGTTTCTGAGCACAGGCCAAGCCTCCTCTGCCTTGCTGCAGGCTATGTGTTCAAGCGGCCACAGAAAAGCTAAGAGATGGACATTACATGGAACCAGCACCATGGCCATGAGTAACTGCAATGACAGTTTTCCACCCTGAAGGAACCTGACAAGCAAGGATCTTTTCAGAGGATGGGACTAGTCCTACACCCCAGCTGCACTGGATGAGGGACCGGTGCCCAATGCTTTGCCCCTCCCAGGAGCCACCTGCATGAGCAGTGCCTGGTGCTGAGACGTTTACATTGCCACAGAGGCCAGCTGTCCTTGTCACAGCCTGGCTGTGATCTGGTTTGGCTGCCACCTACAGGGTAAGGGTGCTGGAGCTGAACACCCGCTGTGAACATGCTCCTGGAGAGTCTCAGGTCTGCGCCCCTCACTGCAAATGGGTGGGTAAGCTGCTGACAACAGCTGCTGCTTGCAACCATGAACAGTGTCAGCAGCTGGTCTTCAACCCTCACTTCTGACAACCACTCCTCCTGCACAAAGCAGAAACTTGAAAGAAGTGCCCACTTACCTGAAAGCTTGTCTACTTTTCCAGCCTTACAGCTCCTCTAACAGACACCTCACCTTACTTCTTATCCTTGGACTACCATAAATACACAAGCCCTCCTTTCTTATACAGTTTAAACTTCTACCACACGCACATCTGGCAGTTCTGATGTTACCAGACATTTTGAAGTGAAAGACACCAAGCACTGCCTCTGCAATATCCAGGACAAAGAGGTTCTCCAGCTACTCTGCTCTCCTGTAACATGGAAACAATCAAGTGCTGTACACGCTAACTCCCAGTGAACTCCTTTCCTTGCACCGATGTAAAAGGCAGGAAAAAATAAGTGGGGCAGGAAAATTGTGAGAGAGAAGGATTACCTGCATCTGTAGTTCTGCGTCTGTCTGTAACATCTTGGTTTTAGCCTGAGCATCAAAGATGAAAGGATAAGAACAGAGCGTCACAGCATCCTGCAAGAAAGGCAGGTAGATTGGTTCCTATTTGCAGCTTCCATAGCACTTCTTTAAATAAGAGTAATGAAAAACAATTTTCCTACCTGCATGATAGATGGTCTTACTTTCTGTGAAGGAAAAAGAGAAATATGAAAATCCTTCACTCTTTTGATTTTGTGTTTTGTATTTTTTTGGACAGACTAGTTCAAAGATGACCCAAAGAAAATTTTTCTCCTCTGGGACCAACAACCCAGTTTTCTCCTCTTAAAGAAAAGCATGGGAACTTCCTTCTCAAGAAAAGGTACAAGTCTAATTCAAAACTTGCACATCAAACGTTACTAAGAGGACTAACTGGCACAGAAGCCTGTCCTAGCCTGCCATAAGTGAAACTTACTCTTATGAAGAAAACTACCCCCAAAGCAAAGACCATAGGCAACAATGGGACCATGAGGCCACAACATGACAATATAAGACCACTCCTACAATGCAAGTTACTCTACAATGGAGCCAATTCAATACATTTTTAACTATTTTTAACTATCACTGTTATATAAATTTAAGTCAATTATTGCTCTGCTCACTAGAAGTAAGCACAGAGCAGCACTATTTAAATGATGGAAAGTGGGGGGGGATGACACACAGCACACACAACATTTAGAAAGTCCATAAAAACACACACGAAAATTCTTGCTACAGTCAGGTTTTACTCTTGCAGCATCCCTTGGCAGGTGTTTTTTTGGTGTTCTCACACACTTGGGATTCCTTTCCTTGCTATAATTAGTCAGTCTCACTGGGTTCCTACACAGCATATTCCAGCCCTCGGTTTAGTTATCTCCTTTCTTACAGATGGGAAAGTGAGGCATAAAAGAGGTGAAGGGTCTTACCCAAGATCACCCAGCAGGTTACTGGAAGAGCCAGGAATAGAACCCACATCTCTTGAGTCGTGGTTCAGTCCCCTAGCCAGAACGCCACACTGCCTCCTCTTACAGAGCAACATTTTAAGATCACTGGCTACATTATTCACAATACCTGCCTAAACAGCAGAAGTAAAGGGTAAAAATTATAATTTTAGAATACAGGATTTGGCTCCTGAGGTCTCGATTACATTAAAAGGATCCAGTGACTGAATTAATCACCTTGTGCAAGGATTGAATGAGATTCACATGAATAATCACAGAGATTGTTGCAAGTGTTAGATAAATATTGTTAGCTCCAGCTCTTCTGACAGCCTTATTTTAAGTCAACTTTGTCAAGTCACGGAGTACCCAAATCTGAGAGACTTAACATATAGATGCTCCTATACTGAATACATTACACTCTCATTAAGGATATTAAAAATACATATCTCTACAACCAGGCACAAACATGGACAGCTATTTCAATGACTATACATAAAACTTCTTACCATTCCAGCCTGATGTAAGAACCACATGAGATAATCCTCCTGAATGTCGACCAAGCTGGAAATCTCAGGGATATAAAACTTATCATATTCTACATGTTTAACCTTCTGATTTACCTGGTGAAAAGAACAGATGTTTTTTAAAATATGGATACATTCAGCAGTTTTCTTAGAACACGCAGGTTTGCATTCATAAAATCAGTTATAACAGCTTGCAACAATAGGCCCCAGAAAGTCTTGCAAAAACACACAGTCCCTTATATTTTAGCATGAACCAAGAAGAACAGAGATAAACCACTTTAAACCTATTTTAGTTCCCATTTCTCCTCACCCAGACTAACCAGCACTAACACAGTGGGAGCAGAAAGCATCATGAGACAAGTATTTGTGATGCCACAGGGCATGCAGTTGGGTGGCTCAGCAGCAGTATTCTTTAGGGTAAATTTTTCCTAGTGTTTGAGATGGGACTAAACAATCTTCAAGTACCTTGAATTCAGGAAAACCACTAACATCTTCCCCATGTGGTGTCTTGGTGGACAATGACACAGCTCACAAGCCAGGGCCATGACCACTCTGCCTTTGCCAATTGGCAACACACAGACAAGACTGAATCATCTTGAGCCAACACACACCCAGGCTTTCCTCTTACCTTGTGGAGTTTCTCCAGAAGCCTGAGAGCAGCTGTAATGTAGCTACTGAACAGGACTGGGATCAACAGTGTCTTTCTTCCACTGAGGAGGTAAACTACTGCGCCTTTATAGAGGTCCACTAGCCTGAGGAAATACCTCGGGCACACTTGAGACCACCAGTTATCTGGAAAGAAGAGGAACATCAATACAAAGCCTGAATTAGAGGCCAGAGAAAGGGGTTACCATTGAAAATAGGGGAACACACCTAAAGATTGTTTCAAAAAACTTCTCTGTTTCTCTCCTACCTGTAGCAACAGGGAAGTGAGAAAAGAGTCGGCTAGATACCAGAAACTGAAAAGCTTTTCCCTTTTCACTCTCATACAACCACCCCAGTCGTTACCGAGCCCCAAACCCTGATCAGTGTGAGAGCCTGAATTCAAGGTTTTTCAACCTTCAATTCAAGATACAGTTTCAAGTATCTTGTATTCAAGATACTGTGACCGTACAGGCAAACCGTTGTTTCTCACAAGTGATAAGAAAGCAGTTGCCTGGGCAATTCTCTGTTGTACCACATACTTTTCCAGCAGGTGTCAGAGTGTGTCACCTGGCACATCTGCACTAAAGGTCTGAACTGACCCTCTTCAGAAAGGCTGACTTCTTTCTTGCCAGGGACAGGTAACCCTCACCTATTCTCTGAAGGGACCCTATTAGCTTCTTTGCCAGAACCAATCCACCTGCAAAGCAGAAGCTGGAGCCTGGGAAACCATTATGTCAACTGTTAGAAACAAACACCAATTTAGCCTCTCAAGTGTCAGCCCAACAATAGATTCTGGCAGGCAAAAGTATGAGAATCCTTTATATTTCTATATGCTAACAATCACAGCAGACTACATACACTGACTACAGGAGGAAACTGTATTCCAAAGCCTCTTTGAATGAAAAAAAAAAAAAAAAAAGACTAAACCTCAAAATAAATTTCACTGTAGCAATGCTCCAGGAGGTCTGAATGCATTACAAAGCACTTTACATCATGATATTTAGTATAAGATAACCTTATGAAACAGAGTAAGATAACAAGAAAAGTAATAGCTTAGCAAACATGAGTAACAATCATTAAGCAGCATATGTTCTGCTTACCTTAAAATGAGCTCATAGGAAATAATGTTAGCAGAAATTAGAAGATTCAGAAGTGGGAGAAGAGCTGGGGTGTTCAGCTTGGTCATGGACCAGCCAATAGGTTTTTCTGCACCTTCTATAGGACAAGCTAACTTTGTATTATATTTAGCATATTCTTTTATTTGCCTTATACAGAAAAGATATTCTAATGCAGACAAATTTAAGAGAATAAGATAATGTAATCTTCAAGATATGCAAAATCTATGTTCACAGAGAGGCATGAAAATTTATCTGGAACTGAGTCTCTGAATGTAGGTAAACTAGATAAGGTAAATTAACCTCCCTATTAAGTGTTCTTTGAAATTATATTTTACTTCTAAATTAAGAAAATTCAGGTTAAGAATTGTTTTTCTCATTTATTATCCACACCACCATAATTTTTATACATTTTATATTATTGTAGACTACCAGTATGACACATTCTTCATTTCCTCATAGTTCGTGTTTAAAATTAAAATTTTATGTTTATAATTCTTTTACATGGGAATATAGGTTTTGGAGGGAGAATTCATTGAATGCTTTTGGTTCCCAGTTGCTTTTTAGAGGAGACTGCTTCATAACAACACTATCCAATTATCATTGCAGCAGTTGTAACAGAAAAATTAAACCAACACAAAAACATGACTGAAAAACCTAAAGGCAGCACTTTGCGTCCCAGCTGGATGCTGAGAGCAACACAGAGCTTAAATGCCAACCTCTTACCAAGAACTTTGCTGGGGTTGGTATCTAGGCGCAGGATAGCCATTGCTAGAGGAAGCGTTAATGTGATATAATACTTTGAGTCTTGGAAGGGTGGGAATTCAGGGAGAATCAGATAGATCCTCATTGCCTCGACATCTGGTGGTGAGCTGGACAGCTGAGGAATCAAAAAACTTTCAAAGCTCTTCAGTATCTAGAGGAAAACAAGACAAAAAAAGGCAACTTACCCTGGGTGATAGGGCACCTACAACATAGATGATGTGTAAGAACTGATGAAACGGAGCACACTCGGCATGAGTGGACTTAACAGCTTTTGCTGATGATCTCTTAAGAACACTTCATAGGACAGGACTGAACTCTTGATTTTTTGAAAATGCATAAACATTTGGATAAGTTTTTCCAGGGCTGCCTAGAGGTTAGTTAACTCCTCTTGTAAGGTCACATAGAATCATAGAATCACTTTGATTGGAAAAGACCTTTGAGATCATCGAGTCCAACCTTTAACCTAACCCTGCCATCCCACCACTAAACCATGTCCCTAAGCACCTCATCTATCCTTCTTTTAAATACCTCCAGGGATGAGGACTCGACCACCTCCTTGGGCATCCCTGCTTTAAAAGTCAAACTCAGAAAGAAAAAAAAACCTATAAAAATTATAGCTAAAAAATGCCATGGGGAACAAACAAAATTTTATCTCACAGCTCTGTGCTCATGAGAGAAATCCTCTGAGTTAGAATAAATTATACAACCATAAAGTACTCAACTCCTGACAGGCAATAAATGAGCACAGTCATTATTTACAAGTATAACATACACAGAATTAATTTTATCAGCCATTTCAAGTATTAAATGTCATGAGATAAAACTTTAAAAAAAAAATCATCTAGGTCAGTGGAGAAGCATCCATTGATACTGCGAAGGATCTGGCCTGCAGGTTTGTAATACAACCCTTCTCCAAGGGTTACTTGCATGTTACAGAGGGACAAAGCCTTTATTTGCCCTCTCAATACCCAAAACCCCAGAAGTGCAATACCTGGTCTAGGAGAATGGAGTGCTGAGAGTTCATCAGCTTCTCAAACAGCACTCTGGTGGAGTTCAGATCAATCCCTGGGATCTTCGGACTGGTTTTAAAATGTTCATCAATTCTTTAAAAAAATCCCAGACAAACAGGCTTAAGTTTAAGGAAGAGACACCATTAGCTGTGTATTGGCATGGTCTGAGAGCAAACAATGGAGAAATGACCTCTAGGGAACTAAGCAGACTAGAAACAAAGCAGAAGTTAGAATCTATTTGCTAAAGGTAAGATGGACAACTCTCCCTTATGAGCTCCTCTGGGCCTTGGTTAGGGTTGGGATTCTTGCAGAGAAACACTTTATCGAAATCTTTGATACTCCCCAGGACTCCTTCACTGACCTAAGTGCCTGCCTAGACAGGCCAGACTGCTGAAAAACCTATAAAATATGTACCAGGATCTTCTGTGTTGTCTTCCTATCCACTACTTTTATAGCAAAATCTGTTTAATCACACCCAGTAAGAAAGGGAAGGGCAATGCATAAGAAGACATTGACTGCTATACAAGGGAACATCAGACAAGGGTTTTCAAAGGGAAACAGGGGAGGATATTCAGAGTAGCTTTTTGGCAATTACACTCTCAAATTTTCTAAAACTAAACAACGACCACAATCAAAACACAGCACAGCTGAGAACAGTCTTCACATGGTCTTTAGTTGCAACAAACATGTCCTGTCCTTTCTGCTATGCTTGAAAGGCTGTCATTTACTTAAGCTACCTGTGTAAAGAGGGGTAATGAAGGCAAGCCTATGGAGGACAATCACCTAACAGCCAGATCTAGCAACACTGAATGTGCAGGCCAGCAGGTAAGTTACCTAGCTCAGCGTCTAGAGCACGATCAGCACCTGTAGCAGAGGCTCTCAGTGCCATTGGCTGCAGTAAAGCCGCACATCAAACCTTGCAGTTGCTAGTAAAAAAGGTCATTGCTACAACTCCATCGACCTCAAGGATTTCCCAAGTCTGTCACTACTCATCTGATACTGTGCTGTATTAGACACTCTGAAGGAAAAGGTAGCTATTAAAGACAGGATGCATTTGTCAGTTTGCTGGTGTGGCTATAACGACACCAGAAGCTAAACATAGCCTGCTGTAGTAGAATGGCTATTTCTGTAACAGCACAGGCACCAGGCTGGAAATAGCTCCTCAGAGTCACACTGCAGTACGGAGCGCTTCAGGCTGTCATGTGCAGTAGTACTGGAGCGTGCCCAGCCACAGAAAAGCTGCTTTCCCATCTAACCCTGCATACCACAATGCTGTACTGCAAACAGGCCTATATGGCATTAGGATGCTGGAAGGATACACTAGGGTATTTCTATCAAGTGCACCGTGACATAAGGCTTCGCATATAAAGGTTAAATACAGCCTCACTTCAGTGTATGGTGGCTTCAAATTTTATCATTCATTTGGTCAAAGATTCTCTGTAAAAGTTAAGTCCTGCACTAGCCAAGACAACATTACAGTGGAAGGAGAACTGCATTGGGGTCATAAAGTCATAAACTCCACTCATTTCCACATTCAAAGGAGATGTGGGATTATTTACAGGGAGTCAACAACTTGGATATCTCAACAAATGTTTCAAACCAAACTGATACAGCTGTCCTGATGCAGTAACACACTGCTTTGTCACAAGACTAAAGAAGAAACCATTGGACAAGTGGAAAAACGTAAGAATAATGAGTAAATTGTTTTCTTTTTTAAGTTGCTCTTGGAAAATATTACTCAAAGATTACTCAGAACAACTAAGCTTTTCTTCACCTAGTTACAGGTCATTTACTCATCACATCACCATAAAAAATTTCTCCTCCTCCTCATCTTATGCTGTTACCTCCCAAACATTTACAGACACAGCCAACACAATCCTTCCCAACCCACAGCCTTTGACTCAGCTATGCATATTATAACCTTGTCACCACCTATGGTTGGTTACACCCATTTGAAATTCCTGCTTTTGTAAGCAGGAGCACAAAACTTTCCACAACTGATGTCACCTAAAAGGAAAGGGCCTCAATGCCGCCTCAGATGTATGTTTCAAGAGCAGCCCGTGTTGAAATATACCTCCACACACATCAGCTCGCACCAGCCAGCTCAGCTGGGCAACAGACTATTTGGATACCTGGCATCACCCATTTCCCTTCATGTCGCATTCCTATCCCTCTCTTTTAAAGATGATGATACTAATTTTCTAAGGAAAAATAACAGTTGTGACAACTCCAAGGAATTTGTGCCACTTACAGTACACTCACCATGCACTTTCCTAAACTATTTGCCTTCCTTACCCAGCTCTGACCACCCACCTCTTTTGTGGACACTCTGCCCCCATCTCCTGTCTGATCAGAAAAATGAAACCCCACTGCAGCAGTGAGTGAAGTAAAGGGATTCCAGCCTGCCTCAAGGGAAAGCCACACTTCTGGACTCCGCTTGCCACTTACTTCTTCTCCAAGAAGCTTCCATTCCAGCAGGCAGCTGAGGACAGTATCTGAACAACATTACTGTTTGCAGCAGGAAGACAAAAGAAAACAGAAATAGAGGTTAGAAACAGATGCCCCAGCAAATCTCTTCAGCTCTCTTCCTTCTATGAGAAACAATGTCAGGATCACCCCTTCAGAGGCATAGAGGGTAAGTGGTTCATTCAGGATCACATAACACCCCTCTTTGAAAGGAGGGATGTTAGCAGTGCCTCCTTTCCACCTATTCTGCCCTTCTCATGGCAGGCACACAGGGGAAGGAATTTAATCGGTCTGTTCACAGGTTCTTGCTGCTTTTCATGAACTCTAAGCACACAACAAAGGACAACTTTAAAATCCATTTCCCACCCACCATTTGCAATGTTCTGAGGCAGCCTCAAATTCCTCTGGTTTTGCTCAGAAGCTCTAACCTGGCAGCCTTGTGATTAGCAACGGTCCTCCCCTTGGATACGACCAAGAAACACACTTGAAAAGGCTGCTAAATTTCAAGTGAAAGCATGGCACGGAAGCCAACAAAATTATTAAAAAAAACTTTCAACAAAAGGCTTGTCCAGTGCCACAATACCTACTTGACAGAATTAGAACTGTTCTTTTCTAAAAGCTTTTGCCTCCAGACATCTATAGTTTCATCATTTATTAAACAGGTGTAACGTGTTTCATTTATGGTCCGGAAATCATCAGCAGGCAAGGAATTCTGTGAGAAGATACAGATTTCAGCAAAGACAAGGCTTGTAAAACAATTCCTTCTCATTCATAATCTTCTATATATAACCGATAGCTTCCTTAGTGTGGTCTCTGAACAGGTTTGGTTAGGAAGCTGTGGCATGACTAAGAAGTCCAAAACAAAAGGCATGGAATGGTATGGAAAAAACCAAGACTATCATCAAATACATTTTTAAAAAGAGGAAAAAGAAAAAAACAAGATATAACTCCCTTAAATGTACTAAAGCCCACTTAGATACCACCATATATAACTACAGGCTTAGTACATTTATTCTAGACCTATTTCCATGCCTCAAAAGTGTATGTCAAACACTTCTTGAAAGAAATAAGACAGCAGAAGCAGAAAAACCAATTCAGCATTCAGCCCTCCATCCAGAATATCTTGAGAAAACCCCAGTGTATGTGGTCCACAGCCCTACACGCGGACCCCGGTGTCTCAGGAGGAAAGGAGCCCCTTGTTTCAAATCTGCAAAGGAGGCTGGACTTGAAGTCAGTGTCTTCCCAAAGGCTCTTTGACGTGCCTCTAAAGGCAGGCAACTTTCAGCCACTTCTAAAAAGTCGTAAATCCCTGTAACAACTGTCATCGTTGGTGAAGTTTGTAAGGGAGAATGGACTCCAAAGCAACACTTCATTTTCTGGAGATATTACCAAAAACAAAAGATGCATTGTGAAGGCTGGGACAGGGGAGCATACTTGAGAAGATACTTCATTTGTTTTACCTCATATTTAGAGCAAAGCACAAATGTTTGGTCTCCTCCAGAGAAGATATGTTTAACAATGTGATATTTACAGGCATCTGTTGAAGAAAGAGACCAGTTGTGTTAGAGATTAATGAACGCAAGTTCCTACTGTGCCTTTTCCCCCGTGTTTGCACTGCCACTGTCTCAGGCTTTACACAACAAGAAGCGCCCGGGTCCCTTGAAGGCCAGGCTGAAATCAATTAGAACTCAAGCACTGTAGCACTTTCTTAAGATACACAGGGCCTGGCAGGAAGGAAAAGTTGTAATTTTTAAACTGCAGTGGGGGTTTTAAATAGAAAACAAAGCCCTTGGAAATTCGTGTCAGTACAACTTCATGAAGGCTCAAGACTGCCAAATGTTGAGCTCTGTCATGAAAAGAGAAAGTGATAGGGCACACACCAACAGACAGAGAAAGAGGTCACTCAGTAATTTCCATAGGGTATTTGGGACAGGAACATGAATTTCTTCTGCTATTTCAAAAACTTTTGCAGAACAATGTCAAGATGTCTTTAGACAGCCGTGGGTGAAATGAAATTGCTTATGTCCATTTGGGACTCCAAATCACGCACAGTACATACCAGGTTTCCCTGAGAGTTGCCCATTATGAGCTGCCCAGTGACCCTTGACAGGAGAGGGACACTTAACGTTGCAAGTGTGCCCCGTTCCCAGCTGGCCTCTTGTTCCACAGCCAAATGCATAGATCATTCCTGAAGAAGGCACAAAGGCTAAAGTGTGATGTCTGTAACAGAGATGGGTACAAAGTTTGGGCCTTGTTTAACAATTAAAAAAAAGAAACAAACACAGCCTAAAACTTATTCTCGGTTCCCCTAGGCCAGAAGCTGGTGCAAACCAGCATCTTTACGCTAGCACTAATGCTCAGTTTTTGCCACCTGATGGCACCAGTTTATGGGATGGAGCTCTTTAGGTGGCAATGACAAAGCAGCATGTGCCAGAATACAGCTGGCATCAGGCTCACAGACGGAATTAGCTTAGTCATTTGCTAAGCCTGTACATATCAAAAGGCAGCAACACAGCACCAGTGTTACTAGCTCTCTTTTCATGAAAGAGGCTGGAAACTTTTGACCAAAGGGGCTGCTGCTCCTTCAGACTTGCTGAATTATTAAGATGAAGAGGTATCTTTTACCAGGTTACAGCACAGGGAACAACCCCAATTAAAAAACAACCTCCTTTAGAGGGCCTGAAAATTCTCATGGAAAGTACAATTTAAATTGACTTAGTTTTGACATGTAGGATGCAGAAGCAAGACCATTCCCCCTATTTACAAGGCTCAGCATCAGCATTAACCTCCACCAAAGAAAATTTCTGACTGCACACAGGACTCACCTGCCACAAGCAATCTGGGATACTTCACTGCCCATTAGCTCAAGAACTCTTCGGGGGTTCACTTCATCATTCATGGAGTCATGTCCCAATTGCCCACAGGAACCTGCACCGAACGTGAACACCCCTCCACTCTGTTAGCAAATCAAACAGCATATTCTCCATTTAGGGACCCATAACCCAGCAATATCTCTCTGACTCCAGTTTCAGTACAAGCCCAAGCTTAGGCAGAGATTGCTGGGGACTTCCAGCGGATTCAGAAAATAAACTTGGGTTCTGCTAATGCAGCTTCCAAATAGCTACCTTGCCACCCATCAGAGATTGACACAATTATCTTTAGATATGTCTACACCAGTCCAGCTTCCCCCCACCATCACCTGATGAGCCTGAAATCCCAGCAGGTTTAAACATGGCTGAGTTGTGCCCATTTCCACAGTACTTTACACCCATCTCTGTCAGCTGCTGATCCAAAGGACTGTAACCTTTTTCCTTCAACAAAAGTTTCTACATAACTGATCTTCTACAGTGTTTTTCCCACAGGAAGCCCAAAGTCAGTTGGTTTAATTCGTTTTACAGTGGAGAACACTGAAGCACCAAAAAAGGAAGCAACACCTAGGAAGTGGCAGTGACAAGGCAAGAACTGAGCAGTGATCTACCAAACCCTAGCCTTGTCCTCTGTCCACGAAGCTATACACCACTTGGAAACAGCAGCTTTGGAACAAAAAACCTTTTGTAAATGCTGTGAGGGACTGCTAATGTTTCATTTAAACACCCATTCATTTGGAGTTGCATTTTATTCTGATGCACAATACCACTCTCTTTCTATCTTCCAACAAAATGCTATTTTTACCCCCTTGGATGAATGCTTGTTAATTTTTTTGCTCAAAGCTAATTTCTTTGAGCAATTCACCTGAGTTTTACTATTCATTGTCATGGATTATTAACATCTTCATCTTCAAAACCAGCAGTGGGTCATGTTGGTAATGAATCTCAGAATAAATTACAATAAGACTGTACTTTCCATTTAGTTTCTTTTACTGGAGTCAGATGGAATACCCTAAGTCAACCTCTTCTTTTCTACCATTACCCAGGAAACTAACGTGAAACCATCAAGCAGGCAAGATAGCAGCCAGGGTTCCCAGATTAGCACCTTTACCTTTGTCAGAACTGCTGTGTGTTCCTCTCCACAGCTGATGTAGACAACCTTCTGAGACCGCAACAGCTTCACGTGACAAGGGGATTCTCGGTCTGCGTTGAAGACAAAGAAAATAAAGGAGCTGTTTCATAAACACAAACTTAAATGTCTGAGGAAACCACTGGCAGTTTGATTTTCAGATGTGGCCTATGTGCGCAATGGAAGCTTTAACAACTGTGGGGAAAAATCCCACGTCCTTGAGTACTTCACTGATGCTTTCCTCCTCCAATTCTTAAAAGATTTATCCTGGCTCAAAGAAAATTGTCCAGAGCAAGAATGCAAATATTGAGAAACTAGTATAAACTCAACATGCACTTGCAGTTTGGGAGGTATGATGAGTGCAGCCTAGCTACACCCACCTTCAGCCTCATGCTCCATTCCAGACTCCTCGCTGATGACTGCAAACATTTGTTTCCAAAGCCTTGCTTAGACCTCTTCCATACAGAGCCATCCTGACACGTGGGGGACACCAACGCGACACACATGACAAGCTGAATCCCAAGGTATATTTAAATGCCTAGCCTTCCTTCTGTTGTCATCCTTTAAGAAGATCCTCCTACTTGCAAAGGCTAATCTCTGCCAACTGTTAAATGATGCTTTCCTCCTTCACTCTGACATTCTAATCATTAAAAGTGGGTCTCCCAAGGACGAACACACTAAGCAAGGTTACATGTTTTACTGATGTAAAAAATAAAATAAAAGCTAAGCATTTCAAGGAGCAGTAGGCACCCCAAAACAGTTAGATATTAAGGGGAGCAGCTGCTTACTTCATACCAACAAAAAATCAGATTCCTACCTATAGAAGTTGTCCATTTTTTAAGATTCTCACCCAAGGATTTGACAGGTGCTTTTTTCTGGGTAGTGAAAGGAAAATGGTCACATTTTCATGGATTTAGAAATGAGAGCAGATTTTTTTATTTACTTTGTTCTGTACTTTAACACTCTGATCTTTCTTTTGACAGGAATGACACTTCTTACCTCTACAGCATAATTGTTTAAATAACAGTGCTGCAGACTACTCATGTTTGTAGACTTTGCTGTTCATGTTCACCAAGTATAATTCATGCTGTCTTACCGTGATTCACTTACCACAAATATAAAGTATTTACTACAGTGTCATGTATTGAGGGTAAGCAGAGTATGATCCCTGGCCAACACAACCCCACAATTAGATGCCCCTTATGAGTTCATCTAAGATTAGCTCCATGTCAAAGTAAGTCTCTCATACATAAACTGCAGCTTTGTTGAAATTAAAGCATTTATCTGCCAGTCTACATGGAAAGAACATGGCTGCTCTTATGTAAGATCAGCTCTAGCTGATATATAGTACAAGACCTGGAGCATTTTTGAGAGTCAGAAGATATATGCAACAAGTCTTACAGTTGTGTTTCATACTTCTAGAAGTGTAAAGCAAGATGAAGTGATGTATACAACATTTGAGCATCCTTTGCTAAACTACAGGCTGGTTTTGAGTAATCGCTTTGAATATATGTTTCAAGGGGTAGGGTGGGTTGTTAAAATGCATCATTCCATTATAGGTACACAAAATGTGAAGTAATGCTTTTCTCTTGCAACATACAGTATTTATATGCTACTACATTATGCAACCTAGCATTTACAAATATATACACCTCATGTACTCACCCATGCAAAATAAACGATCCATGCATGGTAGATACCACATCCACACTCACTAACTTGCCTAGGTATTTAAAGCTACTCAGCAACCACACAGAAAACTATGAAGAGGTTGATTTAAAGCTCCAAAGAAAATCTTTCACTCACTTGCTTTTGAAAAAAAGTTAAGAATGTGTTAACAACAAGCAAGGGAGACCTGGGCTTTTCAGACTAGTGGTAATGTCATATCCACTCTTCAGCTTCATTTATAAACGTATCTTCAAGTCTGTTGATGGCTAGGCTTCACTGAACATGGCCACCTGAAAAAAATTACTATTGGCCCTGCATGCCTGGAAAATTGTGCAACCAATAAACTAGACAACATTTTACAATGTTGAGATACTTATGTTGCCATCATTTTGTAGCATGTTTGCTACATGCATTTGAGCATGTTGCTCACCAGTCAAAAACACATTGGCAAACAAGGGGGTGGGTTCAGCCTGCTGTTATGCAGGGAGAGCCTTTGCTCCATGCCAACTTCAAACAAAATATGACAGCATTTCTGAGAAGAGGAAGAACGAATATGTGCGCCCCCTTCGATGCCTGCATGCTCACATGCACATTTGAAAGATCTTTCTTTTTGGCCTTCCTCACTTCCACTAATATCCACAAGGGGAAAAAAACGTTTCTGTTCCTACTAAACATGAAGAGCCTGTAGAATCCATCACAGATTGTTCCTCTGCACTCTCCTCCCAGGAGGAGCTGTTGAGGTTTACATATCTGCTCAGTAAAAGTATACTGTCAACGCAAACAGAGACACTAGGCCAAAGAAGTCTTATCCTTCTTTCACCTAGGAGCATAATTTTAATACCTCGTTCATCACTTAGTCCCAGCTGTCCTGAGCTGTTCTTCCCCCAGCCAAATACAGCTCCTGAGAGAGAGAGGGCAAAACTGTGAGCTCCGCCTGCAGCAACCTGAGCCAGAGGGATCCCATCAAGAGACTTGACACGTTGTGGACTGGCTTGGGAGGGACATTCTTTACCCAAGCCCAGCTGACCATAGCTGTTCTGCCCCCATGTGAAGAACTGGCCATCTGAAACAAGGAAAGAAAGAGAATGGTAAAATCTGATCAACAGAAAAGCAAATTTGTCAAAATTAACAAGAACCTGCACTGTGGTCTTCACTTCCACCCACCCAAGCCTGATGATGGGAAAAAAATCAAGTGAGACATTCTTTGCCAAAATAAAAGTACAGTCTGAAGCCATCGGGTAAATAAACAGTTGTGCAACTAAGTGCAAAATACAATATCAGACTGCTGTAACAAACAGCGTAATGAAGAATAGTCCATATGTTGCATACAGAAGAGTAACAGCCAAGGATAATTTCAACATAAAGAAATTAATTACACACTTTTTTCTACATCAAGATGGAAAGCTTTTAAGTGTTCCTGCCATCATTCACCAGTGAGACAGTGGGTGGCCTGTGCATAATGTTTTCTCTCTTGACAGTATTGGCAAAGCTCTTCCTCAATATTCATGGTACCTGATCCATTTTATGGCCTCCTGTTTGGCCTGAAAGCAGTTGGGACAGGGATGTCCTTGGTTTATTACACAGAAATATACAATCTTGGACACTGTGCGAAACAACAGCACAAATCTTGGTAATGAATAATGAATGTTACAGTACCTGCTGCCAAAGCCATGCAATGCCAATTTCCACAGGAAACCTGCAGTATTGTCTGTTGGTTCAATTTCTTTATCAGTCTAAAGAAGAGACCACTATTTTAGAATAAGTGTCCACAAATACAGTATCACCTTAGGTTGAAATTAAGATTTCCATTCAGACATTCTTTCTACACATAAACATAACCAATGGTTTTGAGACTGAGGAACGGAGTCTTGAAGGTGATGCAGATCCATACATAATAGATGCAAATTTGTGGAGACGTTTAGACACTTGACTACTAACTCCAACTACATTTACTGCCATAACGCTGAATCCAGCCACCTGGAAATGGTGAAAATAACTGGTTCTTGGTGTCTCTCTCTCTATTCTTTTTCAAGCATCGAGATTTTTCATGCTGTCAGGGGCCTAGCAGTTCCTACGAGTTACAGCACTAAAACCTCTTCAGCGTTTTGTACAGAGAATGGCATGTCAGAGGTTCAAGTTATTTCACAAAAATGTTATTTTTAAAATGTCACCATTGCATTGACATGTGATCCTGTCTCTCTCTGTTGTATCTGTAACCTGCAAGTTAAGGACTGTCTTCCCACAGAGTCCTTCAGCTCAAACATTAATGTTTTGTGACTGAAACTCTTTTCCTTCAATGACAGCCACCCTAGACAGATGTCCCAGATTTCTGCTCTGCACTGGATCTGCAGTGGCAGACCAAATAAGAGGCAGGCTACATCTGTTATTAATGTAGCATGATACAACACCGTTAAGTACAAAGAGACCAGTTATCTTTATTATGGTGATAAGCTGAGACCTATCACCTCTGAACTGCTTTGGATGGAGGAGTCTTGGTGTGTGCCGCTGCCATCATCTACATATCCTTGCACTTAACCCTTTTAGTGCTCTGGCACAAGTTAAGATACGTTAAATAAGTAAATGAAGAAAATTTAGCACTACCCTAAAGCTTCTGAGCAACATTCACTATTCAGAATTGGAACCGGCTGGCATAGTAGCTTTGCTGCTAACAGGGAACACTGCAAAAGAGTTTCAGAGCTGAGGTGTCAGTTCATGCAGCCATACATTTTTTCCCCTATCTCAGAGGACTTCCTAGGGACTAAAATAGAGACTGTTATCACACGCAGCATTTCTATTTTTGGGTCCTCCCTCATGCACCTCCTCACTCTGCCATAAAACACAGTGGCATTTTTCATTGAGAAAGCCAAGCACGCTCTGATTTTCTTTTCCATGGCCCAAGCATCCAGGTGCAGAAGGCCTGGTCCTGCCCAAACCTCCAGAGGACTTGTCTGAATCCCAGGGGGGCTAAGGGAGCACCAG